GTGATACCAACAGGGATACTCCTTGTCTAAACCTTTCCTCCCTTATTTTAAATTTCTAAAGCAAAATTAAGGTTTCAACATTTTAGAGCATATTAAATAAATTCTAGAACATTTGATAGAATTCTGAAACAAAAGGAAATCAAATACTTTCCTTTATGAATAGCACCAACTAGTTTGACTCAGATTTGTATACTAAGGTTCAAAAGAAAGTGAAACCTAGTGTAGTATTAAGAAAAGCTTACAAGGTTTTATACTTACTTTTTGTGCTTCATCTTTGTCATCCGATCATTTAAGTGATTAATAGTGTTCATTACTCTTTCAAAAAAGAGGGTATTTTGAGAGAAATTCTTATTATATCTAGAAAATTTTTTTAGTGATTACAAGCAAATTTTGAGATAGATAATAATAAAGGGGATGAATCATTGAAAGTAAACAGTATAAATAAAGCTGTCATTGCGTAGTTACTTTATACTTGTAAGTTAGAGAAAAATATTTAAATTCAAATCTAACTCTTAAATAAGATGATAGAAAAGTGGATTAGATATCAAATATAATCAAATCATTATATTTGATTTTTCTCTCTTCTACTCTTTTAATTTCTATAATTTAGATTAATTACTTGTACTTATATCCACTTTTTTATCATTATAAATTTAAAAATTGCACAAATTTTTAAGAATTCAATTCACCACCTCTTGATTACTAATTTTTGAGTTAATAATTTTTAAAAGGTGTTGATTGTATATAAAAATCGAGAAAGATATTGATTAAAAGTAAAAATAATAGAAGAGTCTAACTGCAACAAAAATAATAAAGTTCAGAATGCATAAATAGGATCTGACATATAACAAAAAAAGGAAAAATGTTTTCATCGGATATATCCGGTGGATGAGCAGAGGGTGACTGAGTAAAAGCAGTGAGACATTCACGGGACCTCGGGTTCAACTACCGGCGTGGAAAAGATAAGACGCCAGCAAATTGCCCCAAATGCAAGTAAAGGGTGTAAGCAACCTTTCCACTCTCCCTGGTTAATTAATTTCACATCTTCTTACGGCATTACAGAAAGGTTAAAACTCCTTTTTG